TCACTCCACTCTCACTCCACTCTCACTCCATCACTTGGTTTGGGTGTAGTGGTGTTGTTGTAATCACCGCATCCCTTATGTACCTTTCGCATAGCCTTTCCAATGTCTTCATGGAAAACGATGTCAGACTAATTGGTCGGTATGTTTTTGGGACAGTGTAATCCATCCTTCCAGGTTTGGGTATAAATACCACTTTTACCTCTCTCCATTTTTGGGGGATATACCTCAGAGCCGACGAGGATCTGAATATACCCACCAGGTGCGGTGTTCGGCAGTTTGCCAATCATAGACAGATGGATTGTATTCTTCCCCTGCCCAGTCCGCCACGTCTGTGATGACCGAGTCAGGGAAGTGTGTTAACAGCAGAAGTTTGAGGCTGTCTTTGAGGTTGGCAGTTTTCGTGCAATCCTCTTTGATTAGCGCACCAATGCTTCGGTGTGGAATTTTTTGAGAGAGCTTTTCGAAGCCTCGCTGCCTTTTAATGAATTTATTTCCAATTAGGGGAGGTTGGGGGCAATGGGAACTATCTAATATAAAAAATTGTATAGTCTTATTATTAAGATGAAATTTGAAATTGTAATAAACATACATTGTTTAGTAAATCATGTACTATCATTACAAACTTACCAGACAAGACCTTAAACTTATTTGTTAGAAGAAAAAAAAATAAAATCTGAACACATGTCCGAAGATCATATTGTTCCATGGAGTGGAGTAGTGTATCTTTAATATGTACAATAATGCTCTATCCGCTATGATTTCGAAAGATCCAATGGGGTAAAAATATTCCTCTAAATTAGAAAATATGTTTTATCGGAAACCAGAAAAATTTACAATGAAAGTGAAGTTTTGGTATGTACAATCACTTTCTAAAGCCGCTAGGATTTCCAAAGATTTAGAAGGCTGTTTATATCCCTTTTGGATCTTTTGAAATAACAGCGGCTTTAGAAAGTGATTTTGCATAAAAAAAAACTGTAATTTCCACTTTAAATTTTAATTGGAATGTTTTTTCTAGTTTTCCATAAACAATATTTTCTAAATGATTTGAAAATTCGGAAACAAATCTCAAAAACCCCCTTACGAATAAATAAGACCATCCCCGGACTCCAAATAAGAAAACTAACACTTGTAGATATGAAACAAGAAAACTATCATCGCCGGGAGTCGAACCCAGACCTCCACGTTTGCCGGACGTGTGCCCTAATATTATCTCTCGAAATCGTAGTGGTTTTAAAACGTGATTATACATACTGAGACTGTACTTTCCCTATAAATTTTAACTTGATACTGTTTATTATTTCTATTTTAATTAATTCTATTTTAATATTTTATTTTCAGGAGTCACAGTTGAGGAATCACGGGTGATAGACTGTAAAACGGTAAGTGTACTTTTTTATTATTAATAATAAGAGATTTATTTACTCATCATAATATCTGCTTCTTTTATATCCCAATCTATTTTCTGAACGTCTACTGAACCTTCTAATACCAATTTTCTGATAAAACAGTGTCTCCTGATTCGAAAAACATGTAGAAGACACAAAATTTCCAACACAAGTAACCACAAAATAAATTATAATATCTTTCTACGGGATTTACTGATTACAAAATACTTGATGATAATTCAAGTTACAAAAAAAACATTATCTCGTTCCCAAACGCTTGTAATTAAAAATAGCACAATTTCTCACTCACAATTATAACAAGACAGTGATCCCAAAAAAGCCACTAATTAAGCATCTAGGGTGGTTATTTCTTAACAGGTTTCTTAAAAATGTAAATTAGGGATTATAAAAAGCGAATAATTGGGCACGTTTTGTGTAGGCGTTCATGGATTAAAAGAATTACGGGTGGTTGAAATTTATAATAGCAATTTTATCCTATATTGCAATTATAAAATTAATTAATTAGTAGATAATGATGTTTAAACATGCAAATATGCGAAAAGTTATTACAAATATGATTAGATTAGCTTTTCACATGATTTTGCATAATATTGGATATCAACAAGGGCCGAAATTTTATATTTCTGTCAAGTTACACTATTTTAATAAATTAGGTAATTTAAACAATGGAAATAAATTTTAACTAAACATTTTACTGTAATTTTTTTGATAAAACTCATTTTAAATTAGTTACTGTCATCATCTGTTACATACCATCTAGCAAAATCATATCAGGACTTGTCACTGTCTTTGGTAAGACATTGGGACTTGTCTTGAGGTACATAACTACCAAAAAGCTTTATATTTTAAATACTCAACATTTTTAAACTCACGCAGTCAAACACTATAAATCAATTCTAAACTGGCAAGTGTCTGACGACATTTCAATGTCAGACCACAGCTAGTTAACGTTTAACAAAACTTGGTGTTGCCGACCTTATCTCGGAAACCTAGGAAGACGGGCAGGGCATTCTATGCTCAACTTCACCAAGAGGATCTGCAAGAGGTGGAGGCCAAAACATCAAGCCATAAGAATGCTTTGGAAAAGTACTCGAGATTTATGCATAGTCTAAAAAAAATTATCCCGAGAAATTTTTGTCGGTTTAAGTTGCCGAAACAAATGCAAAATAAATCAGGGATAAACCTCCAGTTCAAAGAGCTCTTTTAAGAGATTCACACTTTAGTATTGATACGATAATTAAAGAGGATGGCATGAAAATGGCATGCAAACATCAAAGACATCATCAAAATACTTCCTTGACTCGATCGCCACAAACGTGACCAACTAGGCAATAAGTCTTATGTCCTTTGTACTTAAGACTTTGGAAAAACTGCTAGATAGGCATATTAGAGACGGGATATTGGTTCAGAGGCCAATATATCAAGACCAGTACGCCTATAGTGCAAGGAAATCAACTGAAACAGCTCTCCATCAATTAATAAAAGGGGTGGAGAACACACTCGAAAACAAGGAGGTAATGCTGGGAGCATTCTTGGATATCGAGGGTGCATTTGACAATACCTCCGTTGAATCGATCATTAGATCTTTCAAACACAGAGGAATCGAGGACACGTACGTATCCTGGATCGACTCTATGTTAAGGGAGAGAACTATACACACAACCCTTATGGAAGAGACAATAGTGGCGGGTAGCGAGAGGATGTCCGCAGGGTGGAGTGCTGTCTCCACTCCTGTTGAACCTTGTAGTGGACGGGCTGCTTAGGGCTCTCAAAGATAAGGGGCATAGAACCCTGGAATATGCCGATGATCTAGTGATCGTGGTACAGGGAAAATACAACACTATAGTAAGAGATCGAATGCAAGAGGCTCTAAATATAGTAACAAAATGGACAGAAGCGGAAGGACTAAACATTAGCCCAAAAAAATCTGACATAATTGCATTCACCTGCAGGAGGAAATTGGAGGGACTAGGGAATCTAAACCTAAGAGGTGCAAGCATCCAGCTTAAAGGCGAGGTAAAATATCTCGGGGTTATGAGAGGGGTAACTCGAGAGTTACCTGGAACCAGCATCTAGAAAAACCACAAGGAGAGCGGAAACTTCGTTAATGATGGCAAGGCGATCCTTTCACCAAAAACCCTGATACTAACCATAGCTATGCTGTAGGAATACATTTCTCGGTATTTCAGGACGAGGTATACGCAATTTTGCAATGTGCAAAAACGAACAATGAAAGAGCTGTCGAAAATCAGCATATTCAAATAATGTCAGACAGCCAAGCGGCACTTAAGGCCATATCGAGTCAGAAAGTTACGTCGAGGCTGGTATGCGAATGCATCGAAGAAATAAAAACACTGACAGACCAAAATACAGTAAAACTATGCAAAGCCCTAAATCGTAAAAGACAGGCACTTTTTGGACAACCTCAGGTTGATCCAACAACGTATAGAACCCACTCACCCAAGGATATGTACAAACTTATAAAAGGTACAAAGGTGACAGAGTGGGTGCTATGAACTAACATAGGGTAAAACACAATAAGCCAATAGGCTTCAGTGTTATTCGGAGACATAGTCAGATGAGCCCAGGAGAAAAAAAACTAGGCAGAGGAAGAATATAACCCATCTCTCTACAATTGGTAATCTGCCAAACACATTTCAAACGAAAGCAAAATTATATGGGCAATATCTTGCTTCTTTCCATTTAAATCGCCAGGACCTGACGGTATCTATCCAGCCCTATTTCCTATTTTAGTGGGATCTGCAACATCCAAGGATTACATTCTTCGGTATTTTGTTTAAAGCTTTTTATGTGTGAATTTCTCAAAATATAAAACTCCTCTTCTACTTTGAAAGCAGTATTTACTACCATCTAGCATTACTCCCACTTCCCATCAAATCCTCTTGAGGACTTCTCGTCTTTTGTTTTAGTTCGATTTATATTAGTCCATTTTTTTGAGCTGAGACAGTATAAGTATAATTTCTGATTTATCACATCTAAACAGCTTTATTTTCAAACTAACATTTGCGTTTCGGACACTCATTGTTCTGTTAGTGCTAGCGAAAGAAGGTAATTGATTTGTCTCTATTTACTTCCCCTTTATTCTCACAAACTTTATAGATCCATTATCCTTATTCTATCACTTCTATTATTTCTATGACAGACGTGTATGTGCTGCCAATTTTTTGAGAATGCTTGTATTTTAGAGTTTTTGTCTATATAGGTTGATGCTCAAAGGGCAATTGAGGTGCAGTTGAAGGAATAAATAATAATTTCGTTTTTTTAGAAAGAAATTTCCTTTCAGCAACATATGGGAGGGGATTGTCCAAATAATGAATTATTACTTAATCGGTAATGTAGATACCTTTATTATTTTGATTTTGAAAATTAGCGGACTTCTAAATGTACCTACTTCTAGTTGCACTGTACTTAAGATGTTTGCGTCTTTTAAGACCTAATTCCGTAAGCATTACTGTATGATTCTTTAATTGCTTTGCTTTAACGAGTTAGTAAATAAACAAACTTAAAAACTGGTTTAGTAAATATTAGTTTCACACAAAGGCATTAGTCTTTATTTCTATAAGCGTTTCTTACCGAGAAAGATGCTAGAGTAGTATTACTGATGTGTTTGGCTGCCATAGAACCATGTACCTTAAAAATGATGATCATATTTAAGTTAGAATGATTGTTCTTTTCCTATAGGGAAAAAAATACTAAGAACTACTTTGATAATGTAAAAATGTCATTAACAATCCCACAAATGTTTTTGTCAGTAACTTCGAAACTACTTTATCGATAACTTTTAAACTTTACAAATAAATAATATTATTTCCCAATGAATTATCTGTAAAACTTTCATAAACGTACAAAACTAATATATTTCCTGTTATTATAACTTTTTATTGCTTTAAAAAAATTAACCAAGTACCATTTCTCCAGAAGGTAAGTGCAGAGTCCTTTTTTAAAAATTCTGTATATTATTTACTATGAAGAGTGATCCACAGAAAAGGTTTCTACAGTAGACCATGAGCGACCAAGACAGATATAAGTCATATAGACAATTAAAAAAAAGAAGAAGAAGAAGAAGAATTGTTCTCTCGACATACGTTAATTTTTCCAAGGCCTACTTTAACATTTCTGGATCACTGCTTTCTACATTTTAATTTTTCAATAAGAATAAATCTAGTAGATTTAAATAATTTCGTAATATTATCCGTATCAAATATACACTATACACTATATTTGTGACACCCTGTATGTATATATATAGCGACATTGTTACTTGATTTGTCAAAGGGACACTTAAACACAGTTCTGTAGACATAAAACATATTTTTAGACATATATTTTTTAAGCTAATCTTTTGCTGAAAGGATAAGCAAGGACTTTTTCTGCGTGCCCTTTTGTTAAGACTCTTTTTAGACCCTTTGATGTTTTTTTTTTAGTTTAAAATCGGGATTACAGGTGCCTTTGTACTCGGCTATAAGTTTCTCCCTTTTTCACATAGCTTCAAAATCATTTCGTTGGAAAGAAATAAGTCGTCTATAACATTTATGTAAATAACGAAAGTAAAAATAAATGGTAAATATACCAAACTTATCTCCTTGGCTCAGAAACGAAGTAAATAATGATGTATTCTAATATTATTAACCATGGACAACAAAAGGATTTTCTATATTGATAGTTTGGATGTTTGGCTGATATAGAAAAATTTTCTGTTGTATAGAGTGTCCAAACAAGAAAGGATGGCAGCGTTCGGTGACTCTAGGAAAAAATAGCCTTTACATTTCTCAGAAATTAAGCCTAGTATAATTTAAATTAAAAAGGTACCAAGAACGATGACTGGAAATAATTTTCAAGTTGCTCATGTAAATGATGAGATAAACGAGTGGATACTCAAAAAGTGATTAAAATTTCGTACAGATTACAATTATCACATTTTGACAGGTTATTTTCTTCCAATTTTTATCATTGACCATAAGCATTACGCCCTTAGGGGCAGTGTTAGGAACTTAAAAATAATTTCCAGTAATTAATAGAAACAAAATAAAATCTCAGATCTGTAAGATAAAGCCTTATTTGAACACCCAGTATAAAGCTGGACTGTCAGAAGCTCAAAGCCATTTTAAAATGTATAAAAAAAAGTAAATTTTAACATTTTTATTAAAAACCATTATATAAATACATATTTGGTCTCATATTTCAAAGTTATAAGAAGATTTAAACTACTTACAACTGTTTTCATCTCGAATAGTAACGTTTTTCTTTTATTTGTGTAGACCAATATGTTTAGTCTTATATATCATACGCTCTTAATTTTTTGTTTACCTCTGGCGACTTTCCAAATATTCTTCAGATCATAAATAACTGGAAGTTCTGTCAGTTTATTTTTTTGAAATTTATACTTTATGTCCGATTATCGAATATGGCTATTGGGACTGATAGAATTTTGCAAGTGAACATTTAAAAACTTGTTTTGAACCAACAAATATTTGATGTGTATGAATTATACTCGTATTATACTGTCATTTTAGGTAATTTTAACTATTAGATAATACTCTTTCGAGTCTTACGTTATTTGCCAACCATATTATCATATGTAGCAAAAACGAGTGTTCTACATCAGGAATCACTGTTTTTTATCAATATGTAATCCAAAATCGTATAATTAAAATTATCTACAAAAAACCTCTTTTATATAATAAAAAAATGCTTTGTATAAAAACATTATATTATAATATGTCTTGCTGTACCTTTATTTATGGAAAGCCTGAATTGAGATACACTACAAATTATTTGCAATAAATATCAAAAGAAACATACATTTTTAAATAATTTGACGTTTAAGAGCCATTCACACATCACAGTTGACATTTTGATACTTGACAGGCAGAGTCAAGCATTATTCTAATTTTTATCAAATAAAATGGTCGGTTAATTATTCTGTGGGGTTGCGACAGAGAGCCAGTAAATTTAATGAAGGTTTTTTGTGGCTAGGGGCGAAATAGTAGTATGCTTAAGTTAGCACCACCATAAAAAAGACGTTTTAAAAAAACTATTTATATATTTTTCACAAATTGGCAGGCTTGGCAACTAATTTCGAATAAAAATAGCCTTAACAATGGCTATGGTTGCAAGTATAAAGGTGGCAACCCGCTTTAGAAATTTCAACTTTACTATCAACAGCTGTTGTTTGACAGGTCGTTAGAGAATGTTTGCAATTTATGGAATGTTAAGAATGTTAGGAATGTCGACATTAGAAATAATTGGAATTTCTAAAATTGTCCCATAAGAAATGCATAGGCGGATTTTAAGAAAATTGATAATAAATTAGTTAGGATGAACCGAAAATTGTGAAAATCAATAGGGTTTTAAGTTAGAAGTATTTATTCAAGAAAATCAAAACCGCAAGTCAATTAGAACTTTCGTTCTAGAGTTATCGGCCGGCATACATACACACAGGCGACCAGACGAATTTTTTTTGTATTTTCTGCACGTATGCAATACTGAGGCCCCATAGGAAGGGCCTCAGTAATTCTAAAATACATAAAGCCCTCTATAATCATAATATTACATAACTAAATGAAAAAATTACAACTAAATTAATTAACATTTTTTTTATTTTTTATCATCTACAATTATTTTATTATTTCCTATCTGTAATACCTTAAAGTCAATATTTTTCTGTTATATATTACTAGGTACTGATTCTTGAAATCTCTGTCATTCTGATAACTTTAAAATTTTCGATTTATTTAACTAATTTTAATTTTCAAATTTGATCACTCTTTACATATTACTTCTTCCTCCAATAGCAACTAAGCCTGAACATCTACACCTCGAGCGAGGCTTTCACCGTGACCGTTTCTGTTTCTTTCCTAGAACCAGCGATAGCACAACGGGATCTATTCAGCCCTAGTTGCCGATGGGGAAAATACTTTCCTCGTATAATACATTTCAACATTATCAATCATATAAAAAACATCTAAATTCACATTCAACATTTTTCAAACCCTTCGATATACCTAAATAACTTTTTAATCCTTCGGACTTTCAAAATGATATAAAAAATAAAACATCTCCAAAACATATAGTTCTAACCATCTCCACTCTAACTCGAATTACACATGGAGTAACTTGATTCACACAGGTGAGAGAACGCACCTTTCTTTTTTGACATTTGTCATATTAGATGTCACCTGCAATCGCTGTCACTTTAACCGTCTAAAATATGGGAGGAACTAGGTAAAATTAAAGAAACAAAAATTTCAATAATACATTCATAATTCTAACCCATCCTCTCTTTTTAATGGTGAATAGGAAGGTGGCGAATTAATTAGATGTCTGTGTTTTAAGACATATTATGTAATATTTTGAAACAATTTTGTTCAAATCTCTTTTAGGCAAAAGGCCATATTTACTTAACATCTTCAACAGACTTTCTTGGATTTTCGTAAACAAACCATTCGATTCTAACGCTTCCTGGTCGCGATTTTTCATTAAATTCGTTAAATATATTAATTTTGGATGACATATTTGCAGTATTTACATAAATTGTACTTTTCAAAGCATTCGATTTTTCACAAATGCTTACAAGAAATGTTTCTGCCATCTTTAGTGATCTAAAATTATGAAAGGACGATAGACTGAACTAATACCCATTTGAGTTTTAGCGTTTGGTGTAAGTAAAGTTGGTAATTTTTTTTATTTAACGAAATATTGTGAATATATCTACATACGAATTTCTTTGAAATTGCATCATGTTACTTGTAAATAATACATTCCTACCATTTTTAGTGACTTGAAATACTACTTATCTAAATTTATAGCATTTGGTGTAACTAAAATTGGTATTTTTTTTATTTAACGAAATATGTTAGATATATCTACATATGAATTTCTTCGAAATGGCGTCATGTTACTTGTAAAAAGTATATTTCTATTCTATTTCATTTTAATTAAACAATTTTGTATGAAATATAAATCTAAGCTACGTGTCAACAGCCTTTAACCACTGTTGGTTCCTTCCATGATAATACTTTAGTTTTTGAAAGCTTTAAACAGAAAATTCGAATTGCATGTTATAACCAAGCATAATAGTAAACCACCGCGTATACTTTGGCCGCGTATATTTTGGAGCCACAAACGATGCACCGCCTCTGACAGGGGTCAATATGTACAAAGTTTTGAACTATTTGCTATATGTGACTTTTACTGGAAATGCAATAGCGAATTTTACGAGTAATAAAATTTCACATATCCATAGAGCAAGGAATAATTTGAAATTAATATTGCCAACCGTCGGGAACATATGTTGAAATTTGAAAATGTCATTGCAGGAAAATACCAGCGCCGTTGTTTTTAAAATCTATGCGGCGTTAAGTATTTATATCCAGTGGGAAAACGCCCGCGTCACAGCGACGCGCGACGTCTACGTTGGGGTTGGTTTATTTCACTTTTGTTCCTCTTTGGTTTAAAATACTCGACTCGGTGACAAATCTTATCACTTTCTTTTATTATCTAAAACAATATTTTCAACTTGAATGTGTTTTCCACGGATTTTAGCTTTTCATTTTGTTTTCGTTCTGATAAAAATACGAATTCAATATAGTTGGAGACGAAGAAGTGTAAAAAGATACTTAATGATAAAAAGAGGAAGTAATACGATGAACTTTTAACCTTTTTGAACTCGCTCCTAAAATTTGAGCACGAGTACTTGCGATGAGTCTAAGAAACACTTTAAAAATAAAGGGTTTTTTAATTTAAGGGCTTTAAAAATGTGGCAGAAAATCAATCTTGATGCCACTTAACGGGTTGCATGTATTTTTGATGCTTCAACGATCCATTATAAATGCTGCTGTTTGAGAGTCAATATAAACACCGTTTCTGTTGAGGTAAGACTGAACTGATTTGATTTTTGACATTATGTTTGAAATAAATATTATTTCTTCATTTCGATATAATATTGTAAAAGCAGTTCTATATATCTAGAAACAACAATGTTATGTATGTCCACAAAGTTAATAGAGTAGATGTATCCCCGAAAAAGATAACAATGTTTAAAAGTACATTAATTTGTTAATAAATTTTGAATAGGCATATCAGGGAAGGAAGTTCACGGATGAGTTCGCCCAGCCTTTCATTGTCCTCGATGATTGTAATCCTTCAACCTTACACTCTCAAACAAAAAACAAACTAATTATCATTCTGCGTTTACAATCAATCACGTTATGTCGGATAAAAAGTCTTTTAGGCTTATCAGTATCAACACCTTTCAAGGTGTGATTTCGCATACATAATAAGGGATTATCAATTGTTGCTGGTGTTTCGATAATCTAGAACAAGGACGCCCAATTCACAGGTCGATCGGTACGTTATTTAAAGTAGATATTTACACGTTAAAACATTTTATTTGGTGCAATACAAAAATTTCAACTGTCCATATTCCATCGGCTCTAACATAAACTATCCAAAAGGCAGCGTGGAAAACCACTTCAGGACTTAAAATAGAAGAATGTTCATGGCATTAAGAGAATAAATAAGGGAGAAAACAAAAACAAAAAAACGATGGTAAACCAGTAGATCTAATCGAGATAGACGCTGCGCAACAAGGTAACAAACGAAGTAAAGAAAATTATGAATAAGCACAAAATCAAAAATATACAATTTTGCTTACAAAGCATAGATTCAAACTAAGGACTATTTCTCATAGAAGACTACAAGAAGAATTCGTAGAACTACTAAGTTTCACTCATAAAAAATAAAGACGGCAGAAGCAGTCAAACAAAAGAATTTTTATTTGTCAAGGTAGGTGTGATATTGATCAATAAGGGTGAAGCGTTCCAAAAATCAACACCTACAATTTCAAAAACAATCATAAACAATAAGAGGATTAATTTGAGGGTACCATACATTTGTTTTTCTTACATATTTTTTATTACGGTAATGGGAGAGAAGCTGGTTATATAGTCACTACACAATAACCTGGCCATTATGCAAACAGGGAAATTTTTGGGAACATGGTAATATTTTATCAATAAATAAACCAGCAGGTTCAATATTTATATTGAGTATGGTTCTTTCAATTCTTCAATTGCTTCTTGTTCCTTAGCTGCTGAAAAAAATGGTTTAGGATACAGAATCTCTGTGACTAATGCTTTGCAACTTGTGGGTTTCCGTCTATTGCACACTCCCCCAAAATCCAAAGGAGTCTTTTTCTCCTTTCGATATACATATCGTTGTCGCTTTGGCCAATTGTTTCCTGCTGAAGAAATTCGATTTTTTCATCACTTTCTTTTAAAGAATTTAAAAAATCATTTTTTTCTTTTATTAAATCTTCTTCGGGAAGATCTAGCTTTTGGAAAAATTGCCCATATCTTTCGTTATCAATATTATTTATTTTTTGTATTCGCTTTTTCTATCTGATTATTTCCCTTTATTCTTTAAATTCGAAGGTCTTGCCGAACTTGTCAACTTTTCTTCCAAGGCAAGTTCTCAGTGTATAAAGAGGCTTTCTTGTATTTTTGTTTACCACGGCAGCAAAACATCTTGCTCGATAAGACCTTCTGTGACCATAGTGGATCCTCTTGCTCCCAATAAATTTTGTAATAATTACATTAAAGGGTTCTACTAAATTATTGTCCAAATGATATATTAGTTATTGTATATTAGTTGCATGTTTAACTAAGTAATTTTTATAAGAATTTAGGTATAATAAAATATACCTATTCATTGTACCTATCTATTTAAAAATATAATCTGTTTTTCATTTCATTTTTGTCCTAATAATCCTGAATACGTCCAACTTATTCTCCGCACATAAATAGTTTTGAATGGTGTGGCCACGTCCCGATGTCATATTTTGCGTGAAAATGCACATGTAGAGGGCCAGGATCTAAACGATCACGTTTACTAATTTAAATATAAAATTATTTTTTTTTTACCTTTGGATTAAGAAAGCATTAATCTATGCTCCTATAGAATTAGAATTTGAAAAATATTTTATTTTAATTCGTAGCAAGTGCGTAAATCGCAACAAATTGTGGACTAGGTTTGAGATTTAATAACTTTTTCAAAATATTAATTAAAAAAAATCTAATTCTATAGGAGCATATATTAAGGTTTTCTTAACAATTGATAAAAAAATGAATCTTTAATTTTTTTAAATAAAAAGGTGCGCATTTATATTTCAAAGCCTTGCAAACGCTTACAAATCGGATAGTTACCCTTAAAAAAATAATTAGAGGTTATTAACATAAAATTTTAAAAATAAATAACACAAATATTTGTATTTCTGTATGTTACCAACTTATAGAATAAAATCCTTTTGAATATTTTGTACAGCTTATCCTTATGGATAGTACTATTACTAGTATTAAAAATAAGTCAGTATAAAAGACTTTAAATTGTAAATAATGTAAAAGTACGTGTATTTCGTTAATGTAAATTATTAATAAAAGTGTGCATAAATTAATGCTTTTTAAACCATTATCACAGGTCGGGCTACACTAATTAAAATTAGTACCTACATTAAAAGTAAATCTGTAAATATTTCGAACCAATATGTTTATTATCAGGTCCTCATCCCATTTTCAATGTAAGGGTCGGTCTCTTGAGGATGACAAAGGTTGGGAAACATGGAAAGTGTGTTAATGATATCAAAATTATAGAAATTCGGTAATTTGGTCACATTTCAGTTCATATTCAAACTGTGTAAGGGAAATTTGGGACCGAGGAATAGACCTATTTTAATTAAACTTTGGTTTATCACTTCTGGTTCGTCTAATTTTATTATTATTGTTAATTTTACTTCAACCTATTGACAATAATACAACTAATCAACTAGAATAATATTGTCTCTAATCTAACACAGATCGGAAATTGTTATTCGTCAGACGTAATTAATTTTAAGATTATATCGATCGTTTTTGATAATAGGGATATTGTAGTTATACACAGCTTCAAACGAAAAAGGAGAAACTTCTTTATTTGGTCGAATTTTATTTGTGTCGCCAAATAAATACAAAGATAACAATTTTTGTTCATTAAGTAAACATTTACAGTTTTAGCAAATCATTTTTATAGTAACAAAACCTAAAAAAAAATCCACTTGAAATGCAAGCCCGTTTGCAGAAAGTAATATTTTTAATATTGTATAGAATTGGTATTATAACTAATATAATATCAACATTTACTTTTGTTGTACATGGCACACTATAACTTTTTGTGAATGTTATTTTTTATTGATCTATCTATCGAACATAATTTTAATTTCATTTATCTTAATATTGGACGGCTTTTTACTCCATCTTAAAACCTATTAAATTAAAGTATTTTTAAATTACAGTCATCGCTCCTGAAATGAGATATATTCGTGTTACATTACTTTTGAAAAACACCGTATACGTATTGATCCTTATTGCATAACAAGTTACTCTAGTTTCCGATTCTCTGGTTTTTAATATATTGTTACAGACATGGAAAAGCCTGCTGCTGCTAACGCATCAAGCAGATTTAATTAAGTCAAGAGTAATAGTTTTAGCTGGTTTCTCATTCAACCACTAGACTAAATTACTTCACTTGTTACCGGATGAAGCAGTACGAACATTTGCAAAGTTGGAAAATATTTTTCGATAGTGTCAGTAGATTCGTTATCATGACGCTGAAAAATGTTTTACGTAAAAGGATTTTATTGGGAGTAAAAGTATATTTAATTTTGTTTTATGATTTGTATTTTAATTAAATGACATTATTTTTTGATTGAATAGGAGTTATGCGCCCAGTTCAGAGGAGAAAACAAAGTTGTGTGTCGATTTTTTTATCTGGTTTACTTGTCCTATAGATACGTTGTCTATGTTGACATCAGTTTGAATTAATTTGATAGACATAACTATTTGCATTATATTAAAACTTCCAGTAGGTAACCTATACCTTCCATTGAATTCGTAGGTTTCTTCTAAATGTACACATGAAATTCTCGCTCTAAAAATTCTCGGTCATCTAACTACAATTCTAATTTAATCGTCACTTGAATCTGAATCCATAATTTTCAAATAAAATATGTCACATATAATAGCACTATAAGTCATAATATTAGTAGTTATTTATTATTTAAAATTATTTGTTTACTTTAACTATGAAACATACTTCAAATTTTACAAATATAATAAACTAATATTCAGAGTAAGTTTACTAATAACTAATTTTATTATCTAAAAATATTATGAAACTAAAACTAATATTTCTTACTCATAATATTAAACTTTAGCCAATATTATTAGACTAATACATTTTATGAAATAGGCCCCTGAACAATAATATGTAATATTAGTAAATATTTCATGTCTCGTATTTTATTCCAAAAAACATATTTCGTTTTTAAATATTTCTTTCTGATGGATACCTTTAAGATTTTAAAAAATTACCTCACGAAAATTCTGAAGCAGTAAAAAACTTAACAGCTTGTCTGTAGCTCTACGTTTAAAAAATTTTAGTCAATAAAAGAAGTAACTCACCGTTTTATTCCCTAAATTTCTAACTCGGCAACTGAGATAAGCTGATTTCCCAACAAGGGCTGTTACATTGCTTGGAGTCATTGCATCGAAATAGGGCTCGAAGCGATTTTGTGGAAATACAGGTGGTCCCATAGGCAGTGGAGGAAGGGTCTCGCTGTCTGGAAGGGAGTTGAAGCCCGAGCCTGAAGAGGCCATGCCGCCGTTTACCAATAGCAAACCTGGAAAATAAGAAAATACGCAAATTAGATCCTGATTTAAGATTCCATCACAGGGGAATTTTAAATAAACGACTTGCTGTGCTTGCCTTTCTACGCCTTTCCGGTGAAAATTGCAATGTGGGAAAATTTCATACTTTTTTTTGTTAATTTTCTAGTTTGTATTCTAGTGACGTAAATTATTATACGGGTCGCGTCTCGAAATAATTAAATTGAAATGTATTTCGCATTTTTCATTTCGATTTCTTAACTCACCACCTCCAAAGTTTCATTACTAAATTAAACAAACCTTTTACCTTTTTTATTGATTTCTCTACCTGAAACACAACGGAATGAACAATTCGTGGCGCTATGCCAAATTAGCGATTTTAAAAAGTCTGTAAAGAAGAAGAAAATCAAATTTATTATTTTTTTAAACAACATAAAGATTTTATTTTTTTTAAATAACTCCGGAAAGATGACGTCCGTTCAGGCGTACTAATCGTGATATGAAATTATATATTACTTTCCGCAGCATTGCCAGGGGAATTTGGTCTCCACGTCCTGTCAGATTCATTCTTATTGAATTAAAACATCTTTTTCCTACGATCACTATCCAAAGTAGTCTTTTGCACATTCAAATCTAACTGGAAAGTTGACGTTTTCCATGAATTGTCATAGTTTGACATTATTGCCGCATACTTATAGACGGAAAGTTACTTTTTGCACACGCCTATTTCCATTAGGAAGGTCCATAATCTTTTTTCGGTATTAGTTTTCTTATCAACTATCCAAAATGGACTGGACCAAGGAGAAACAGATGGTTGTATGATACCTAACTGTAGTAAATAATTAATTTATTTTTTTACATGGACCATCATGGCAGGTGAAAGTGGGTACTGTCTAGAAAAAATTGGTTTTGTATCCCCAGTATCAATATCATGTTTAATTAAATGTGTACATCCTAGGGAATCTTTTGGAGCTATAGTAGAAAAAAGATCTACCACTCCATTAAGTTTAAATTTATGTTCAAAAGACAGATTTGACATTGTTTGTATATAATTTACAGCACATATAGATAAATAATATTAAAATTCACCACATCTAATAATATTAACATTGACAGGTACATTTATAAAACCTAATACATTTTGTGAAACCCCATCAGCAGTAGTTACACTTAAATCATCATCACATAAGATAGGTGTATTTATTTTATGATTAATATTAAGAGCTTGTTAACCTAAAATTGTTGAATTAGAACCTGTATCTACTAAAGCTAATATTTGAATATTGTTTTTTTTTTATCTTTAAATATGGCCTATCATCATTTAGTTTCTTAGAAAATAATGGACTTATTGTTTCGAGAAACACACTGTATGTTTCACCCATCCTTTACTATTAGAGATGGTGAGGTACTGTCATTAACTAAAACACTATCATTTTTAAAGTTAAAAAAAAAATTTCTATTTCTGTATTGACTTCTTTAATTGACAATTCCATTTCTGTGATATCATCTTTATAATTATAAGGATTATTTTTCTCTGAAAAACTCCTATTGTGTGACTCTTAAGATAACAATCCACACAAAATATTTATTAAAATTTCATAGTTTAATTCATGAGATTTTAAATGTAAAGAGGATATCAGTCAGAAAAAAATGTAAAAAGCAATATATTTAACTAAATAAGCGCACAAATTTTATCATTAACAAAAAAATATTTTTACTCGATAGGCACAAAAATCAACTTTAGGTAAAAATCCATATAATATACACTTTTATCAGTGTAGAATGAATATTTAGATATATCACTAGCAACATATTTATAAATAAACACTGGACCTAGTACAATATGCAGCTATTATATAATACTTGACCTAGTACGATATGCAGATGTATAGAAAAGTTTAAAATAAGAGGTAAGAATTAGTAAAAATACAAGACATGTATTTAGTTTAGTTATACTTATAAGTTACAAAGAAACTATTTCAAAGTTAAGAGCTATTTAACCCAGTTGGGGCGCCATTATTTTAAATTATTATTTAAATATATTAAATGAGATTTTTCCTTTTCATATTAATTTTGGTCTCTATGAAATTATTCATTTAATAGTTTAAGCATCCTTTTTAAATTTCATCTATCATAACATTTTAACCCTTTTTACCCTATGGCAATCTCTAGATGGTTCAGGTTCAAACAGAAATAAGAATCATCTATCTTGAAGATCATTCACGATTCAGTCACGAATAGAAGTCATGAATGAGATAAATGAATAAGAATCCCGAATCACTTGGTGGAAGTTGCCTGACCGGTATATATTGTTTAAGGATTGATGTACCTCTGCAGTTTGGGGTGAAGGAAGAAATACCTGATTCTTACCACACCGTATATTACCTTATTTACCACACAGATAAATGCAATTGATCTAATCAATAAATTGTTTTATATTTGAATTATGTGCCAAACTTATCTGAATTAGAATTTGATACCTACCTTATCTAAATCATTTTCTGTATTTTTATCACTAACGTAGAGTTAAGTGTATAAGCTTTAAATATAGTTGTGCCCAACTTCTTTTTCAAAGTTATTAGAGTTATTTAAAAACCTAACCCACGTCCTATAAATTGATCTCAAACACATATATCAAAGTAGATAAATTAACCAGCTATTCATGTTACAATACTTTTAATATCGTAGTAGGTATAGAGACACTTGAGTCTGGGAACCAAATTTTCCTTTGATGATGCCGACAAAGGGGTGCGCCAAAGGTCAATAATCATTTTTATTACTTGTCAATCATTAATAACCTGTAAATCATTAATAATTATTTATTTAATTCGCTAAATGAAGGTAAATATAACGCGGCTTAGAACAAAAGTACCTGATTCCAGGTATAAGGGTTCGGATCTTAAAGTGTCATAACTAATAGTGTTACATTTTTATTAATTGCTTTGTTAATCGTAAGAAAAGCCATGTTTTAAATATGACAGGGTTATGAGATCATTGCAGTTAAATCTGTGAAATAAATTTGTGATTAAATCGGCTTCGACGAATATACTTATGAATACCATGCTGCACTCCGCTGCGCCTCGCGCGGCAACTTTTTATCTTAAGCGGAAAAGTAGCACTTTCCGCTCTTAATACACAAATAGCTATTCTAAATCTAGTTTAGCTGCTATGCTCTTAACGGATATAACCCTGTATAAAAATGCGCAAATATTGTCATGTTGTTTTCTGTTGACAGAAAAGGAAGATTGTTTATATAATATTCCCATTATTAAAATTATGTTACATTGAAAACACCAAACAACTATTTTATAAACATCCACATGCACCATGGAAATTTACATACTGTAGTTTGACTTTTATAGATCTAACAAAAATATTTATATTGTAGTAGGTAACCAGTGATATTTCTTTGGCGATATATTCAACATCTTATGTTGCATGCATTTTTCCAACCATAACCTTCTTTCATATATCACGTGTTATATTTCCCTTTTTGGATATAAAGCCATATATTTTCTCTACCGATAACTAGGTCAAATTTTGGATGCTTCTGTCGAATTTGTATTATAATGATATCCCCAAACAAAGCCGTAACTTTTTGGCTTATATTTTTCAGAATAAGTGATTTGAATTTAAATTAATTCACATGAAACAAGAAGATCGTTATTGGAAATAGATGAATATGAATCAGTAATAGAATAATACACTGCAAAAACGGTTCTGTAAATTCATAAAATCTAACGTTGACAACTTTACATTATGTTATTTTCAAAATTACAATGTACGTAATCATTAACAGAATAAATTAGATAGTTTTATTAGTATATTACGTAAATAAACTTATTATAGTGTGTACAATTACTTAATAAGTTATTATGTGTTTAAACTTTATATATTGTGTGAAAAAACTTATTAAATTCTGGAATAGGACTTAAAATATTTTATTTTACATTATAAAAATTACATTTTACAAAATGTCGTCGTAAGAATTTTAATGTGGCAACATTTTAAATTTATTATGCAAACTTTCACAACATCCAACAATGACTCATATCATTCTTCATCAACAACTTGTTAGTCAACAAAAACTTTGTAAATTGTGTTTCCATCGAACTCTGAAATAACAAGACGTATTTCATGGCTGTCATAATTTAAATTCCGGGCATTAGGCTGGGTCATTTGTCTGGTAATGATTTCTTTGGGTAATCATAAACACATAAAAAAGAAAACACTTGAATCATTTTATTAGAGTGCATGTACTTTAATTTATAATCAAATAAATTATACAACATTTGGAAATTTAACACAAATGATACTTGCAGCGAATCCTTAAATGTTGAAAACTTATCGAGCCTTTTAATTTTTAAATCTCTGATTTAAAACTTCCAGTGTATTTTCTTATCTTAGGCTGTAAAATTGTGAATCCCAAGGAAAGTTAGGTACACTTTAGTGATAGAATGAGATTTATGTTTCCTTAACAGTTCCCGTTACATTCAAGGAAAGCCCGCTAGAGAAAATGTATAATTTGAAGAAGCACCAGAAAATAGAATTTATCAAGTTTCATTAGAAAATTTACAAAGAGAAAACTCTTCCGAGAATCGACTCGAAATTTACATAAAGAGGAGCTTATTAAACTTTTAGATTCAAAAAAGTAACAAAATAATGTTCATTACCCCGGTTTTAGGCTGGCATTATTTATTTATTAAAATTGAAGCATCTTGTGGCAAGTATGTTAAAATACTTAAAAAGTGAGTGTCAGTTAATTTAAGATTAAAACTTCAAACGAATGCATTCTATAAAGTTTCCTTTCAAAAGAATTTAAAAAATTTATTTTAAAGTAATAACTGTTTTTTTGTGGATTTAAAATTGAAGCTGGCTGGCTTTACACTGGATTGTAGTCAATAATATAGAAGCTATGTTGTCATTTTGTTTTTACCAAGCTCCATACGATGTATTAAGGTTATTTAAAAGGAAGCTTTAAAGAAAAAATAAAAGTTAAAGTTATTTAGTAGTA